TAGCTTCAGCAGCACAGCCAGCATTAGCTTTGGTGGTGCTCCCAGCATTAGCACCAGTTTCAGTGGTGGATCCAGTATTAGCTTTGGTGGTGCTCCCACCACCAGTACCAGTTTCAGTGGTGGAGCCAGTGTTAATTTTGGTGGTGCACCTTGTACCAGTGCCAGTTTCACTGGTGGATCCAGCTGTGGCTTTGGAGGCACACTTAGCAGTACCACAGCTAGCTTTAGTGGTGCACTCAGCACAAGTACCAGCTTTGGCAGTGCACCCACCACAAGCACTGTCTTCAGTGGTGCAGTTAGTACCACCACTGGCTTTGGAGGCACACTTAGCACCAGTGTCTGCTTTGGTAGCTCTCCCTGCTCTGGCGCTGGCTTTGGAGGCACACTCAGTACCAGTATCTGCTTTGGTGGTTTTCCTAGCACCAATACTGGCTTTGGCGGTACACTCAGCACCAGTGTTTCTTTTGGTGCTTCTTCTAGCACCAGTTCTGACTTTGGCGGTACACTAAGCACTAGTGTGAGCTTTGGTGGCTCTTCTCGCACCAGTGTTGGCTTTGGCGGTACACTCAACAGCAGTACCGGCTTTGGTAGTGCCATCAGCACCAGTGCTGGCTTTGGCAGTACACTCAACAGCAGTGCCAGCTTTGGTGGTGCCATAAGTACTGGCTTTGGTGGTGCACTCAATAGCAGTGCCAGCTTTGGTGGTGCCATCAACACCAGCGCCAGCTTCGGTGGCGTACTCAATAGCAGTGCTAGCTTTGGTGGTGCCATTAGCACCAGTTCTGGCTTTGGCAGTTCACTCAGCACCAGTGCCAGCTTTGGTGGTATACTCAATGGCAGTCCTAGCTTTGGTGGTGCCATAAGCACCAGTGCCAGCTTTAGTGGTGCGCTCAATGGTAGCGCTGGCTTTGGTGGTGCCATCAGTACCAGTGCCAGCTTTGCTGGTGCGCTCAATAACAGTGCCAGCTTTGGTGGTGCCATCAGCACCAGTGCCAGCTTTGCTGGTGCGCTC